AAACACCGACGTGGTTCTGGATTTCGGAGGTGACCTTCGAGACGAGCGATAAGAACTCGAGGTTCGCGAGATCGTCCATGGCTGCGATTTGGCCCGCGGCGCGCTTTCTTTGGATGTTGGAGTGTAGGATATTGTCTGCACACTACATCCACTTGAAAAGATGCAAAGTGAATGGCCTAATGTCAACGTAGGCTTCCGGGTGTTCAGCTTTTTTCCTTGTATGAGGTGACCTCGTCCGCGGCGCGCGTTCGTTGGGATAGTCGGGGTGTAGGATCTGGGGATGCCGCGGTCGCAGGGAGGATTCTGGGTATTTTCTGGTTTGGAGATGTCGCGCGACAATGCTACGCGACGATTCTTTCCTCCTCCCGGTGTGGCTGCGACAGAGTGGTGTGAATGGCTGAAGGTGTTGGATCGTCAAGAAAGTTGATGCGGCTCGGCGGCGATTTCGCGCTAGGCTCCAGTCCCCGCGCTGGCGCCGTTCCCAAGTTCCACGATATCCTGCATCCATAGATCTTTCGACCACCGACATCCAATTCCTCGCCCGCATCGCTTAATCCTTCAGCTGTCTCAGCGTATCTCGTGATACTCACAATCACTGTCACGATGGTGTTTGCACGCATACACCAGTTTATCCAGAGGACGCACGAGAGAATGTTACAGCAACCCTTGAAGACTTCGTTCATCCTGCTCCTCTTCAATTACGCAGGTTATCGATTCATCTCTCACTGGAACCCGATAATCGAACGAGCGCGCATAGCCAAGCAGGCGGAAATGGGACAAGCGGGCACAATGAGTGAGGGCACAAAGGCGCATACATACGCCCCGGACACTGCTGCAAGGACACGAGTGGAAGCTGGACAAAAATCTGGCGGAAGTTCGATCCAATGGATGAACGTGAACGGTGTACCCATCCCATTCATCGGACCCAAGTCGACCAATTGAGAACAACATCTTGCTGGTGTATCGACAAATGTTTGACTGGATCTCATCATGCGTCGAACGTAAGCCTTGGCTTCAGTGTATCGCAACCATGGAATTCAGTAAAACCTCCTCTCAACAACCAACGCACACCACAATCACGTGCTGCTGATGCCTGGAGGGGGGTTTCAGGAAGTGCCAGCTATCGGTGGGTTTTCTAAGGCGCGGCCCGCACGGAACACTGGCAGCAGATATCGCATTGCTCGAGTGAGGACACCTGCTTGAGATGTTGTGCTCTGGTATGGGAACTATAAAAACGGACAGTGCACCAAGTAAGAGGTGGAAACGTCCCTCCATGGTGTTGCGACAGCATTATCGCACAGCCACAACTTCCACGTTACCGAGGCCTTTGTTTCATCTCGCTCTCCGATTCAATGGAATGGAAGATTCGAGAGCATCTGCAAGTCTGTTTCTCAATACACCGACTTTCAGCAAGAGTGAGGGGTGGTCAATATCCTGGAAAGGGCCGTCGGCGTTATAGGTGGTCCAAGCACCACGATGTTGAATTCGAAGCACAGGATCGCGTCAAATTGCATCATCTCACTAGCGTCGATCCCACTCCCACTCCAACTCCAACATACCAACTGTGATCTGGTAGTGCAAGTACAGTGAGAGAAAAGCTCTTGGCTGTATGAATCACGGCAAAAATGACTTGGAAGGCGGGATCCCAGAAGACAACGGTTTTCACACTCAACTTCCTCCGTATACATCAGCTTCGCAGTGTTGGACTGGCAGCTCAGTATCTTGTGCCTTGCATGCTCTGACCGTATGCGGCTGTAGCTCGATGCTAGTGGCATGCGGATCAGCGTCAAGCTCGATCGGCTGTTACATTGTGTGCGATGGCGCAATTGGCCCGATATGGCAGTAACTCACGGTGACATGAATCACACGTATATTGTACTGAGGTAGTACATATAAGAGCATGTTGCTTCTCCCTGGCTGTTTATCAATCATCTACCAATCCCTAGAGACCTCACTTAACATATCTTCCTTTCGTTGATTGACGATAAATCATCCACCACCATCCACTGGCAGCCACATCACACTGCCATACTTGCTCGTTGCATACTATAACCCCGTCTCATCCAAGTACCAAGAACTTATTGCAGTGGACCGCGCAGTACTCGTAATCGTACGAAGTTCCTATCTATCCCAGCAACAACGATGGCGCCAGGACTCGTCGAACCCCACTACCAACCCACCGCTGCATCAAGATCTCTCCCAAGACCAAAGTCTAGCAACGCCCACAGCTATGTGCCTGGGCGCACCACTGTCAAGAATCATGCTGAACCATACAAGTACGAAGACCTACGACCACACTTCCCCAACATCACATGGCCAGCCTACACAGAGATACCCTACGCCGACAAAGGTCAACTAGGTGATCCTAACTTCAAGAACCTCCTTGCAACTGCCACAGACGTCTTTGACTACAACCCAAAGATTGGTACTGAGATACATGGCGTTGATCTAGCGAACCTCACAGACGCTCAGAAGAACGACCTTGCAAGACTCATTGCCACGCGTGGTGTAGTGTTCTTCCGAAACCAGAAGAACTTCAGCATCGATGAGCAGCGGGAGCTGGGAAAGTATTTCGGTGAGCTGCACAAACATGCCACAACTGGTGTGCCGAAGCGAGAGGGATTGGAGGACGTTCACGTCATCTACACCGGCGAGGATAGCCCAGACCTAAGGGCTTTATTCACACCGTCGTTCCTCTGGCACTCTGATGTAAGACTTCGTTACCACATCAAAAGAGACACAAGATTTACTGACCGGAACCAGGTAACATACGAACTCCAACCTCCCTCCTACACATCCCTCAAAGTCCTCACCGGCCCACCCCGTGGAGGCGGCGGCGACACCCTCTGGTCCTCCCAATACGCAGCCTACGACATGCTCTCACCCCACATGCAAAAGTACCTCGAATCGCTCACTGCTCTCCACTCCGCTGAGCTGCAAGCCCAAGGCTCGCGCGATCTCGGTCGGACAGTACGTCGCGAGCCCGTCACCACCGAACACCCACTCATTCGGACGAACCCCGTCACGGGCTGGAAGAGCATCTTCTTCAACCCTGGGTTTGTGACGAAGATTGTTGGTGTGCCGAAGACGGAGTCGGATCATATCATCAGTTTCCTAACGGAGATTGTGGCGACTAGTCCCGAGGTTCATGCTAGGTTCCAGTGGAATGAGGGGGATGTCGCATTTTGGGATAACAGGGTTACGGTATGTTGAGTCTCGTTCTTCGAAATAACGCACTGCTGACATGGCGTAGAACCACTCCGCCACTTACGGGTTTGCGCCTCACCGTCGACACGCTGTCAGGGTAACTGTTCGTGCTGAGCGACCCTACCTCGATCCAAACAGCCGATCACAGGAAGACGAGTTGAGTGAGAAGTATGGGGTTCGCAAGGCGAATAAGGATGGGAGTGGTGTTGTGAACTACAACGACTGAGCGATGAGCATCCCATGGAATAGCGTGTCAACGTTTTTAGGCATTGATGATATGAGCGTTCTTTAGCGAGCATGTGTTGGTAGCGCTAGTATGCATATAAACAAGATTCTTACCCCGTTTTTTCCTTCTTCTCTTCATTCAAGTTTTCCTCTTACATTCCTCCAAAATTGAACATCTCAACGCCCCATGGCGAGGGGTCGAGCTGAGCACGAATCTCAAATACGATGAACACATGTGTCGAATGGGGACACTTCCGATCTGTGTCTGACATCCCACCAAAACGTGAATCTTATCCTTGAATGTACTTCTTCGACCAAGCAGCAGCAGTCAAAACTGGAAACTGAAACATAATGTTTGTGATAACACTGAGTCGGATTTCCTGCTTCATGACATCGCGCTCGGGTTTTGGAACACATGACGCCTTCTCGCAAATCACCCATACATGATTTCTACCAGTACGCGACGGCTATATAAATCAGACTTGTGATCATCCACTCCTCTTCTTCACCAACTTTTGGGTTCGTCATTTCCGAAATCTGTATCAATATTTGTTATGTGTCGGCGAGGTTCCCAAAATCTGAAGGGGTTAAGTGCATGGAAGAAAGCGAGTGCAAGAACATCTCAGAACAATACACATACGTTGCACCTGTTGTGTTCAAAAGCCTTATTGAAATGATTATCTCTGCGTTCTCATGTCTGAAACCTTATCAATTCCTTTCACACCACGAACGCGGCCCTGCGCGTCATTTGAACTATCTCATCGTTTTCCCCCCGAGGTTGTTCTGGATTGACGACCAAATCCAAGCTGAGCTATCAAAGTGTACAAGAGTCTGTCTTACGTCCTCTTCTTCTTTTCAGTATCACACACAGAGCTGGTTGTCAACTCCAACCCGAAAATGATACCGTATCGACTACATGTGTTGAGAGAAAGTCTGTCTGAAAATCAGAACAAACCAAACCATGTCGGTGAACAGCGAGATGTGAAAAACCATATGCGAGAAGCTCGAATATCGATTCCCATGGGGTCAGGGTTTTGTGGATTGATCTTGCAAATGTGGACGCCTTGGATCGCTGGTTAAGACATGATAGCGATGTCTTTCTTCAATGTCTGCATATGAATGAGGTCATTAGTCTACAGTCATCAACTATGCCCATACATCGATTCAACAAGACAATACATAGATGACCGCCATTCCCTCGCCTACGTCGGGCATGCCGTGCCAAAATAACCAGCCAACAATAGCAACCGCTGCCAACGCCAATCCAAACGTATACACCGATATCGGTTCGGACTATCCCTACGAGGGCCACTTGGGCAACGAAGATTTTCCCTGATTTACCTGACTGAACCGCCCGGTAGGCCGCCGCCGTTTGATGATGCACGCGGCCAGTAGAATCAGTATAGCGATGACGAAGAAGACAATTTTCACAACACGCCAAACCTTGGCTGCAGTCGAGAGGGGTGCGCTTGACAATAAGTCAGAACCGGTGTGTCAAGAAGTATGGGATAAATTGAAGGTTGTTCGGATCGAAGTAGGACGAAGTAGACAGACGGGAGATTGAGCGCTTATTGCTCCTTTTCGTACCCTGCTGGCTTCTCCATGCCTTGCATCTCGTAGAAGCGAGATGTGCCTGCGTTGTGTTAGTATATGGATATTGGTTAGGATACTGGCAACTTACAGCTGTATCCGTTCCAGTCAAAGTTGTCCTTGGGGTTGCAAGAGCACTTGTGGTCGAGGCGGTATTGCTCGCCTGTTGGGCAATGTGTGAATGGGACGTGGTAGTAGGCGATGTCGTTAAAGAAGTGAATCTCGTCCTTTTGTAGTAGCAGACCAGCAGCAATGGAGTGCACGGGAGCATCGCCCCATCGTTCGTAGAAGAAACCACCAGCATGGTCGAGCGAGGTGAAGAAGTCAATGTAGGCGTCGGAGCGGAGCCAGTTAAGGTTGCCGATCTCGAAGTTGGACCAGAAGTGGCAGTGGTTGTAGGTCTCACCGCCGTCGTCACTGAGGAACTTCATGCCGTTGTCCTTGACAATGTGCTGGGGGTAGTGCTTGGTGAAGTTCTTGGTGGCGTCCCAGAGGGTAGGAATGGTCTCGACGTATTCGTAAAGACTGAGGGTGAAGCTGTACTTCTTCTTGTTGTCGGCCATGAACTTGAAGGTGTCGTAGTTGATGTCGCAGTAGAGCTCAACGCTGGGCTCGACGCGCCAGTACCACTCATAGTCGAGCATCAAGGGGTGGCGGAAGAAGAAGCCAGACTCGTAGCGGCACATGTGTCGGTAGCTGACGGAGTCGCCGTAGATGATCTTCTTCTCCTTCATGGTCTCGCGGACCTTGGCGGCCTTGTCCTGGTCAATCCATTCGGGGAAGGACCAGTGCTCTTTGGGAATCTTGCCGTACTTGGTCTTGCCGGACACAAGAGCAGATGTAACCTTCTTGAATTGGTCGTCGAACTCGTCGTCGTTGAGGAAAACCCAGTCGTAGTGGAACTTGCGGTTGAAGCGGTCTTCGACTTGGCGGATGGACTTGGCGATTTCCCAGACATCGGAGTTGCGGGCGAGGGTAACGAAGGTTGCGTTCATGCGGTCGCCGGGGGCGGTCGCGGGGGGAAGTCCCTCCTGCTCGTTGGGTGTGGTGCCAGGCGCGACTTGCTGGACTTCATCGTTGGCGACGGGGGCGTTGCCCTGGGGAGGAGTCGCGGGCGACTTGTTGTCTTGGTAGACTGGCCAGCTCGCGGAAGGCACAGACGACGAGGAGCCGATGAAGTAGAGGAGGACGAGGGCCTGGGTATGGTCAGTCGCTGCTTCCGCACTCGTCACACGATGCCGGCACGTACCACTACGGCAAAGACAAGGTAGCGGATATACCGCTGGTTGCCGGCCATGGCGGAATGGCCCTGAGGCTGCTGCTCTGTGGGCTGCTTCTTTTCGGTGACGTCGGAGCCCTCCACTTTCGCTGCTCAATTGCCTTTGCTGCGGACGACGTGGTGGGTACGAAGGAGGCGTGGACGAGGTGTGAGACGTCTACGGGTAGCCCTAGGGGTGGTGCCGGACGGACGCTGTCGGCGCGTTGGTTCCCCGGAGTGTAGGACTACAGAAAAACGAGCGGATGCGAGACGCGGGGAATGCGCATCAGCCAGTAGTCGAGGTTGAGGTGGCAGGCAACGTGAGGGATGGAGGACACGAGGTGGATAGGAGTCGTCGACGGGCGCCGTAGTAATGTAGCCACTTCGCAGGGAGTCGGATTCTTTGGGTAAGGCCGGGCCTGGCCGCCAATTGGGAGCAAGCCGCGATGGAGCCAACCTGGGTTCGCAGTACCACAGGCACAACCTCGCCCACCCACTCCGTCGCCGTTACTGTACCCTGCGGCGTCATTCGCCTGTCGCGAGTTATCTGCCCATCTGCCGCCATTTATTCGTGGGTGCGCCCATGCGACTGCCGCCCTGCCAATCTGCCTTTACTTAGTAGCCCAACGTCACCACTTTCGCGTGTTAAATATCACTTCGACCGCCGCATAAACACCACCACACCACCCCCACCGCCGGGTTCCGCCCAACATGTCTTTCTTCGGCTTCGACCCCAGCGGCCCGAGAGACCGCGGCCACGCCTCCAATGCGCCCGGGTTTGGCCAGCACGACGCCTTCGCCGCACTGGGTGGAGGGGCAGCCGATGACGATGTGTAGGTCGCGTCTCACGTAGCCCACAGCTCCCACTTACCCTATCCACAGCATCGACTTCGAGGAGACGTACGACGGCCTAGGCGACCAGCTCGACGACGATGCCGATGACCTCAACGACGACACCTTCGGCGGCGGCCCTGCCACGCAGCAGTCGGTCGGAAAACACTTCGACTTCGCCGGCCAGACCTCTGCGGTATCAAACACGCTGCAGGAGGAGCAGATGCTGTACCAGGCCCGTCAGAAGTACCCCCAGCAGCAGCAGCAGCAGCAGCAGCAGCAGCAACAACAGCACCATCAGCAGCAATACCAGCAACAGCAAACCCAACAGTACCAGCAGAGACCACCCGTCCCCCAGGCGTCGAAGCCAAACCGCACTGGCTACGAGAGCTACAAGGACCCCGAGTACATCCCTCAGCTAGAGGCGCGCGCCGATATCTGGGGTCTCAAGCCCAAGCAGCCCGCTGCGCAGAGGCAGCCTTCGCCGCAGCCCCCCGCCGCTTCGCAACAGCCCGCGCCCACCAGGAAGGCCATGAGCATGGAAGAGGTCGAGGCCATGATGCGCGCTCAGTCAATAGGTACCCCTCCAGTGCAACAAGCTCCGCCTCCAGGCTTTCCAGGTTTTGCGCAACAACAGCAATTCGCCCAGCAGCAGCAGCAGCAACAGTTTCCCCATGGACAGCCCCAGTACCCCGGCATGCCAGGACAGTTCGCGCCCCAGATTCTGCAAAGGCCTCAACAGCAGCAGCCCGCTCAACAAATGCCGCCTAGACAGCAACAGCAGCAGGTCCGCGCTGAGCTCCCCGACCAACCCGTCCGATCCCAGCCGCCCCAACAGCCCACCATCCTACAGCGACAAAGGCCCCAATCGAACGAGCCCGGCGCTCAACAGCAGCGCCAAGCAACACCCCAGGCTCAGGCCCAGGGCACACCCACCCAGCCTCGACAGATCTTGCAAAACCCAAACCGTCTGTCAGGACAAGGCCAGCCTATCGTTCAGAATGCTCCCCAGGGTCCTCGTGGTGTTCCAGCAGGACACAACCGCGGTCCGTCGTTCCCCGGAATGGTCATCACCCACCCCGAGCAGCTTCTTCAGCTATCTGAGGCCGAGCGTGCCGCCTTCCTCGAAGAAGATGCTAAGCGGGCCAAGCGGAACCACAAGATTGCTCTCCTAGCAAAGGACAACGGCCTGATGACGCCGCAGGACAAGAACTTCATCACCCGAATCCAGTTGCAGCAACTGATGACTGCGACGGGCAACTTGGAAGAGAGAGGACCTGAGGCAGCTATTGCAGAGGACTTCTACTACCAGGTCTTTACCCAGATCCGGGGTGCTCCACGCCAAAACCCCCAGCAGCCAGCAAGCCAATTTGCTCAAACATACCTGTTCCAGACCAACAACAGGTTTGGCAACCGCAGACAAGGCCGAGGCGGAGACAACCACATGCAGCGCATGGAGCAACAGATCCAGCGCGCAGTTGAGGCGGCCAAAGCAAGACCAAAGGCTAGGCAGCTTGTTGTGGAAGGTAGTCTTGGAAAGATTGCGTTCAGCAACTCCAAGACCCCTCGACCGCTGCTCAACCTGAAGCGGCCAGAGACGAACGATAAGCTGCCGAAGAACCACCGGTCTTCTATCGCTGACCGAAAGGAGGCTCTTCGCAACATCGAGGCTGTGTACAAGACCCTTATGCAAATGGAAGACCACGAGCGCGCAATGCCACCACCGATCCAGGAAAGCAGCCCTCCTGAAGCCATCCAGGCACACATGGAGTGGCGTTCGAAGATCGAAGCGCTCCATCAGCAATTGTGGTTGAACACAAAGATCATGGAGCCCATTAACCCTGCGTATGTTGTAATATTCCCAAAGCCTCTTTCTTGCTAACAAACTCTAGCACACCGCATCCGTTCATCTCCATCCTCTCACACGCCAAGGGAAAGAAGGTACTTCCACGACTTTTCCGCCACATCAACGAGCAGGAGCGCATCACCGTCGTCACTATGATCGTTGTCCACCTAGATGCCCTTTCCGTGGTCGGCCGTGCTATCGCTACGCCCGAGGAGCCTTTGAGTGCAGCGATCCGAGAAGAGGTTGACCTTTTCTCTAGCACCGTCATGTCGCCTCTTCACGCGCACATCTCGGAGGCGCCGTTGAACATTGTCATTGGCCTTCTTGGTCTTGTTCTGGACCGCACCAACCTCCATACTGTGGCTCGAAGCAGGATCGGTCTCACTCTCCTTACGTTCCTCATCTCTCGCGCCGAGCTTCTTAAGCAGTCAGCTCCCGAGATGGTTACCGACTGGCAACAATGGACGGCACTTTACAACCGTCTGTTTGACGTCATCGAGCCTGTTCTTCCTTATTTGTTCCCAGGAACTATCAATGATACCGACGACATGTACATCTGGCAGTTCCTGGCTGCAATGGGTGTGGGCGCCAGTCCTGAGCAGCAACAGAGGTTGGTGCTCGGCGTCAAGGACCGCGTCATGGAGACGGTCTCTGTTAGCAAGGCTTTGCCCGCTGAGATGGCAAGCGCACGTACGGCCAACGTGAACCTCTTCATGAGGGCCATCGGTCTAGATGTGGAACTGCTTGGATGAACACGTTTGTTGATCAACATTTGAGCCATACCAACGCCATTCAGACGCCACGCATCGCCCCATGCAGGCGGCCGATGTTCGGAGTACGAAGTTCATGCCCAAGGGGTTGGACGCCACCGCACTTGAAGGTGCAGCACCAAGTTACACACCCATCACTTGGATGTGGTGTGGACGTTGCACAATTCGCGCAGAGAGCGCAAGATCTGAGAGCTGGCAGCGGTGAAGTTGGGTGTGCGGGTGGGCGTTGATGTCGTGCTCATGATGATGAAAAGGCATCGGTCGGCGCGTTGACGACGTAGACGGAATGTCACCTTATGATAGAACAAAAGCGCCTTCATTCAATATTCGAATATATGCATTGATTTCATGCAACCTTCCTCGCCTGTCAGTGTCAAGACCCTTGAAAATGTCTTTCTTCCGCGCCCGTGCACTTGCGGTTCCCTTTCGCGACGACACCCTCTCTCGCTTCTCTAGAACGATGAACTTGCTTTTCTCAACGCCACCTGCGCAGCGTGCGGACTATTCTCCACAGCGCTCAATCATGCTTTGCGCAATTTCCCCTACGCCGCTGTACCAAATAATGGAGTGGAGAAGCTCGATCATCCACGCCGCCTGGCGCCGGCCATTCGCCCTTGAACGCGACGGCTTGCGAAATCAGGAAAATGCCGCACCGGCCTCACCAACAGCCTCAAAGCCTTGATGTTCGAAACATGAACCTCGCATCGGCGGATGCCCAGTCTGTTTGCTTGCCGAGATAAGTGGCGCGAAACCGCGATGAAGCATGTTTGTAATGATGGAGCATGTTTGGGAAGACGCGCATCAGGTTGGTTGGTCCTGGAGAAACTGCAAATCCGATCCCGCAACATGACAGTTAAGCTTCGCCGCGGCTGCTTGTCTGACATCCCGGATGTACGAGAGACATGGGAAGACCTCCGGCTTCTCGAGTTGCGGGTTGGCGGGCCCTTTGTTTCATCCATGAGGCGACGCCCATTTAGCTTGTCTGGTCTTGGCATTGCGAAACACCGTCCCCCGGGCTTCGTCAGCTCACCCGTTCATGCTCGTTGACGGCATGACCGCGCGTCGTCAACTTCAAGCGACTCGGCGAGAAGAGGCGTACCTCTCCAGAACACCAGAGCAGCCACAATGGTCAGTTGAAATGAGGTGGCTGACAGAAACAACTTTCTAGCATCACCAGGCGCAAGCTAGCACTACCGTTCGAGAGCCTCTCGTGCGACTCTGACGTTTGTCGGTACCACGGTACTGAAACGTACCTGCAGTCGGAGCCCTGCCTGATGCTAGCTCTCTCCACATTTCTTCAACAGCGTCAAGCTGGACGCGTAACGACCCCCATTGCCTTATCGATACCTCTCCGAGGAGGCTCGAGATGCTTTTGGGCCAATCACATCGCCGTATCTAGACCCATAGTCCCTGTTTCGCACAATTAGTAGCCAATTTTAAGCGAAGCTAGAGCTACAGTTATTAATTATTCTATCTATAAACAGCTATCTTAATACTAAGTTTAGCGCATAAGCCCCTAATCCTATTATTATTCTTTTAGTTATTTTTTTAACTATTTAGAGTTCTAAACCTAATTACTAGAAGTTCTCTTATAACTTTATCTAGCTCTAAAAGCTTTCTATTAGTGTAAGCTTTATAAGTAGTACTAGAAAGATTAAGCTAGATAGTAGTAAGCTAGGTTCTCTTAGTTTACTAATAAAGAAGCTTTTAGTTATTATAATAGTACTACTATAAAAGTATTTTATTATTATAATTATTAAGCTTAAGTAAAGTGTTACTATTTAGATTATATAGTAAGATAGCTATAATATAGTAGTTATAGATAGTAAGCTTTATAAATTAGACTAAGTTAAATATAAGAGTAGAAAGAAAGCGCTTATATTTAGTATAATATTTGCTATTTTTTTAGAGTTATATATAAGTAAAGGTCTAGTAGTAGAAGATTTTTAGCTATAAATATTTATATAGGCTAAGTAGTAGTAGTAATATAACTAATAGTTGCCTTAAGTAGTGTACTAGTTTCTAGTAAAGAGAGCTAACGATAACTGTGGCGACTAGACGGGCTTCTAGATCTCTGTGCCTGAAAACCTGACAGGAGCTAGGCTTGATGTTCCCCATGGATCATCGACAATGCAGCACGCGTAGCGTTTTGTCTGCTGCCGCGTGGATCTCAGCTTGGCCTTGAGTGTCGAGTTAGCGCTCCCAGATCATTCATCATGCGTCGGCATCGGTTCGGATTGCAGGCTCAGGTTTCATCTTTCTCGAGTTTCACTGTCTCTACATCGTTGGTCGCATAGACGTTCCTTCTTTAAAAGCACTCTTTTCGCACCCTCCTTGAGAACCGTGGACTACCATCAGGCCGAGCCTTCTGTTCTGTTTCTTTCGAGGAAGTTGTGTTTCGTTTCGTACCTTCCTTTCTTTACCCCATTCTCTTCTTTCCAAACGACAGGTTCTTCCAGTCCGGCTGCCGGTCAGCATTAGCTCAACAGCTCAACATGTTTTCTCTACGATTCTTATTCTTCGTCACTCTTTTGGCGGCCGTTGTGCTTGCCGCTCCCGCCCCTGCCCGCAAGAGGGGTCTCCAAAAACGCTCGTTCAAAGTTCCCAGGCAAATCAACAGGGCTCACCCGACTGGACCTAATGGCGCTGCTGCTATGAGGAAGGTGTTCAGGAAGTACAACTTCAAGGTGAAGGAGGACTTCATGGTCAAGGAGGGTTTCATCTCGTTCTCAAAGCAGAGCCAGAACGTGACCGCAGCTGCTGCCACTGGTGGCAACAAGACTGGCAGTGTTGCAGCCAACCCTGAGGACAACGCTGCTCTGTTCTTGTCGCCTGTCGATATTGGTGGTCAGACCCTGAACTTGGACTTCGACTCTGGTTCTTCCGATCTTTGGTGTTTCAGTACTGAGCTCGACCCGCAACTGATCGGCCAACACTCCGCTTTCGACGCATCCAAGTCTACTTCCTTCAAGGCCACTGCCGGTGCTCAGTGGAAGATCAGCTACGGTGACGGTTCTGGCGCTGCTGGTATCGTTGGCACTGACACTGTCACCATTGGAGGTGTCAAGGTTGAGGGTCAGACTGTCGAGCTAGCCAACCAAGTATCCCAGTCTTTCGTCCAGGACACCAACACTGATGGCCTCGTCGGTCTTGCATTCTCCAACCTCAACACTGTCAACGACGGAACCAAGAAGACCCCCGCAAAGACCTTCTTCGACAACGTCATGCCCAACCTAGACATGCCCGTCTTCACTGCCGACCTCGACCCAGATGGCACCGGTGTTTACGAGTTCGGCAAGATCGATGCTACAAAGTTCGAAGGCGACATGGCATGGATCCCAGTCAAGGCTGACACTGGCTTCTGGCAATTCGGCTCTACCAAGTTTGCCGTCGGCGACCAGCTCTTCGAGAACCCTCAAGGCTCCGACGCCATCGCCGACACCGGTACATCGCTCCTGCTCGTCGACCAGCAGGTTGCCGAGGCATACTACTCGCAAGTCCAGGGTGCTCAGCTTAACGCTCAGGTCGGTGGCTTCATCTACCCGTGCGGTACTGCCCTCCCTGACATGAGTGTCGCAATCGGCGACTCATACATGGCCAAGATCCCCGGTAGCCAGATTACTTTCGCCACAGTTGATGCGGCCAACACGACCTGCTTCGGCGGTGTACAAGGCAACCAGGGTGCCGGTCTGCAGATTTACGGTGACACAATGTTCAAGGCCCAGCTCGTTGCTTTCAACGGAGGAAACCAGTCTCTCGGCTTCGGTCAGAAGCCTGTTCCCAAATAGACGCGCGTAGCTAGTGGAAGGAAATACAGTCCTACTCGCATGTACATAGTTCAACACCCTTTGCACATTCACCTGAAAATATACAGGACAGCCTAGAACAAATCATGGCCCAAATAAGCCACGAGTTAATGAATCAAGAAATCAAATCATCATCAAATTCTCCCTGCTCCTTCCTATTTGTGACATTGCGTGACTACGAGCGAGTGACCACGTGGACGCCAAGGCAGATACAGCGAAGAAGGCGCAACCATCGCAATCGACACTCACCATTTGCGCCTTTTTTACGAACAACAGCTGTCTAACGACTATTGTTACCCACATTACTTGAGAGCGAACATTCTTCAGACGCGACCAGCATGGAGCTGGACCTCGGCCTGGACACATCGGAGCCGAGCGTCCTCGAATGGGCGAGAGCGCAAGGCGTTTGCGTGAACTATGAGACCGAGTTACTGCACATTCGCCATCTTCAATCACCATCAGACGATGAGTTTGATCGACATCTTCACGAGCCCTCCGATGCGACCATCGACACGGTTGTCAGCGGGCTTGTCAAAGAAAAGCTTACGGTGAACAAAAACACTGCGTTGCTCCTCAAGGCAGCACATGCTCTCCAGGATGAACTTGCGAGCGACCTGACGGTTACTAATAGCCGGACGTGGAGGCGCGATCTACGTCAAGAGCTACCTGTGCTACGATCTGATCATGAGCTTGATTTGCTCAACTTCGGTGGTACAGTTGTGCCAGACTTCAAGAATTTACAGATTCCTTCGGAGATCACGGTAGAAGAAAACGATGAGGGCTTTGGATGGCCAACGAGGTATCTCGACTACCCTGCACAGTGCGACGCGCAGGTCAAAGTCGAAAAGCTCGCCATCTCACGGGAGGTGTTGGTTTATCTCCAGGACACTATTCGAGACGCGTATGTACCGGAAGACGGCCAAAGGCTGGAGGCAGAGAGCCTGATACGAAAACAGGTATGTGGAAGTGTTGTTTATGTTCGCCTGCTAACCGACTCAGAAGCCCAATATCCGACCTGTGACACCGCCTTTACTCCCAGTATCGCCGCCACTGACACCATACATTCCATCTTCACCCACAAATCGTCTGCCATTCGATTCAGATACTGCCGAATCGGTTACTATTGAGGCGCAGGCTCTGCAGGAGCAAATTCTGGCAGCGGACGTTCTTTTTCGCACAAACTCGAATAGCAGTGATTCGATGCTATTTGATCTTACTCATCCATCTCAATTTAATCCTGATTTCGAACCAACCAGTTCGCCCATACTGAAGCGCCGAGCTGAGGATCTCAAAGTGGAAGGTCCTCTTACGCCATCGATGTGTTCTAGTTCGCCCATGAAAAGGCTCAAATCTGTGTCTTTCGCGGACGAATCCTTACTCTACAAGCCATGGGGTGAGGATGATGAAGGTGGGGCTGGCTCTGACCAATTCTTCCACGAAATCGAGGAGCAGGCTGAGCGCGCCAACGAGAAAATCGAAAACGAACGACTGTCCGGCGCTGACACGATTGCAAGAGTCGATATTCCATACATGGACTTCTCGCTGCCCATGGCACCATGGATAGAGTACAGTCGGCGCAAGGGTGGCGACCATCGACCTGATGACACGGAACTGCAAGCGCAGATGCAATTCCTCTTACGCATCAAGCGAGAGGATCTGAGGTTGGCGAAGTCCTGGCATGGGCTTTCGATCCCGGAACGAGAGATGAAGTGGGGCTTTCTCACTACCAAGGTGTCTACTCTCAGTCTCGAAGAAAAGCTACATGGCGAGTCGGAAGTTACTAAGATCGTCGCTGAACTGACTACGGGCGATGTCGCGACTAGCTCAGCGCAAGTGTGGAAACGCGAAGGCCTGCGTATCCTTGACGAAGATGAGGACGAGGAAGATCTGGATCCAGAGGAATACGATAAGCAAAACGACATGGAGGCTCTGATACGCAAGCGAAAACTTGAAATGGAAGAAGAGGTCATGGAGAAGCATCGCAGGTGCACCTCTTCGCAGCCTACTGTGCGTCCACAAATCCGATCCTCCACAGAGATGCAAGAGAGCCACCACTTCGGAGAACGCGAGCCAACAGAAGACCAGACGGCGAAGACCCGATCGAAGAGGCTGGATCATGCCTCCCAGAAACCGCAAGCTGCCAAACAAGCGACTGGAGACCTGATGTTCGGTGGATTCTCAGCAACAACCGCGCTTAACAAGTTCATGCAGACGCGAGGGAAGCCAGTAGATTGCGTAGAAAGTAGTACTGCAAAAGCTTCTGATTCTAGGGATCGCGCTCAACCGAGAACGCACACCTTACCGGTTCGATCAAGGGGGTCTTCATCCGACCAGCCAGTGGATCAGGCTCAGCAGGCGCAAACCACCAACAAGCCGTTACCTATGCTCCCTACTGTTCCGAATAACCTGGCGCCTTGTTCTTTCGTGATCTCATCAACCTTCCTACAACAAAGGGGAATGCTGAAACTGATCGAATCCATATATCCAAGCGCAGAGATGGTGTATCGAGATTACACTTTACCGCACTCGGCAGCCAAAGAAGCTGAAATCATACTGTCACCATCAACCGGCCTCATCTTCACTACTTTACAGCAGGTCAAACAAAGAGCTCTCCCTGGTCAACCAGAAAGATCGCCAGTGAAAGAACGCATGTTGAAGCTCCAGTTGCGGTACGAGAGACTGGTAGTGCTGGTGAGTGAAGGTCTAAGCCGCGAGATGGAAGAGCTGGGATCGAGCCGACCAGATGACCCGCGAGATTCAGAAGCTCTGAAAGCTTTCGATATGTTCGCCAGCAAATTAGAAGGCGAAGTACTTGTTCGATATGTTCATGGAGGGGAACAGGCTCTGGCGCGGGCCACTGTTGTTGAGATGGCAAACTACGGACTGCCATATGGCTCAGCAGACATTGGCGACATCAAGCCTGTGGCGCAAGAGACAAGCTGGGAAGTCTTTCTCCGTCGAGTCGGCCTCAACCCATTCGCTGCTCAAGTGATCATGGCATGGCTCCGCAAGCCCTTGAACATGCCGATAGCTCCTTCTTCAACCCATCACGCGAAGACTGTCTCAGCATTTGGTCTCGCCCGCTTCTTACTAATGATTGAAGAGGATCGAATCCATTCATTCCAAGCTTTGATGGGTGGATATCGCGTTCTGATGAGAGTCAGCGAACTAATTGACCAACGATGGGTCAGCGCTGTGCATGGGTTTAGGATGTGAGATGAGCAGAGGGCAGTTGCGTCATTCATTGCGAGGGAGTTACGGGCATGCTGTGTTCAGAACTCGGATGGAATGACTATATTTAGAACGTTCGTTTTTTTTTGTGATGCAGCACAAAACGTCATCTCAACTCACGGCCAGTCTGAGCTCCTTCACACACGAGTGAATGTGGGGTAAAGCTTGGACCAAGAATGACGCAGAAGCATCTCGAAATGTCGCAAAGGCTGCGCAACGATGATTGTTGCATGTCAAACTTCTTCACGCGCGGCTTGCAGCCTTACTGCCATCTCAAGTACTTCTTTTTCGTATAGTTTCGAATCACGCGCTTGCGACACGTGAACATGTCTTCAGTCGGTGTCATCATCTCAGGGCGGCCTGTCATCACTGAGCCTTCCTCCGTTATATCGCCGACCCAGTTCGCCTTCCAAATCCCTTCGCAGCCGTCCTTCACCCACATCGTCGTCTTCCTGCTTCCGGGCGTCACCTTACCAGATGGCACCGCCGCCGCCGTCTACGCGCAACTGCCCGGTACGACCGACTTCAAACTCCTTGGAGCGATCGCGAACGAGAAGCCTAGCGCGATATTCAAAGTGAACGCCAAAGCCGGTGGGCCTGCAGGTGGTGGCCTAGGCGACAATGACGATGCCATGGTGGACGAGGGCGTATCGATGGACGCGTCGAACGGCAGCACCGTGCCGCTGGCCCTTGGGATAAGCGTCGAACCAGCGCAACAAGTCGCCGCAGCTCTGGAGCAGAACAAGGCTCAAGAGGCCGCAGCATCGGCAACACCAAACATGGGACAAGGCAATGAGTTGGTGCTGAGAGGACAAAGAAGCGTGGAGACCAAGGTGCTGGCGCAGAGGATCATCAAGAATTGCTACGACTTCTTGACAAGCTGGGGCTCGGGAGACACTGTGCCGCTGAAGGCATTCCAGGCATGGTGGACAAAGTTCGAGGGCAAGATCGAAAGAGATCCGGGCTTCCTGGAGAGGAGCGACGGAGGTTGAAGACGTGACAGCATCGGTGGATTACAAGGCTGTAGGATACGAAGCTCACATGCAGCCTCTCAAAACGCCTTGTTGACACCGTCCCACTCTGGCTCCACGAGCCATGCCTCATACATCGCACGCGGCCACGAAACCTTCGGCGCCTTCTCTGGCTTCCGCTTTGCCTGCTCCACCACCGCATCACCAAGCACCTTCTCGATCCCCGCCCGCTCGTACCGCGCCTCCAGTTCCTCAGTCAGTGACTGGAGCACTTCATAGTCCTCGCCTCTCCGCCCGAAATCCGTAATAACAGCGACCCGAACAAGCCTCGAAAGCTCTCCGATTCTCTCGGCGATTTGTGGGCTGGTATGGCACGCGATGGCTGTCCAGACCTCGTGTGCCTCCGACCCACCCACACCAAAGCCGGACAGAAACTTAACTGCGGCGTCGGCGCCCTCGATCTCGAAGCGCTGTGGGCCATCATAACTTTGGGTAGTTCCGATATCGTGGAGAAGGCATGCAGTGAAGAGTAGATCGCGTTGATGAACGCTCGTGAAGTACTTGGAGGATTCGTGTCTGGCCAATGCGTAGGCGTAGCTATACACCCTTATGCTGTGGTTCAAAACCGCCGGATGTAGCAGCTCAGCTGCATGTGCATATGCGGCTTTCAATATTGGAGTATCGAGGATGTGCATGTCGTCTGCATCATGGGCTTCGGCGACGGTCAGGTCGGACGGTGGGCACATGGTTGTTATAGAAATAAAAGAGTAGTGTGGAGATCCATGAAGGAATCAAATCATGGTGTACATTTTGTCGAGAAATTGCTTCGGTCACGCCTTCTTGTCGTTCGGTTCCTAATCGGAACGAAAGGCGTGAGTGAGCGGGGTCACGCCAATACCTCCGAGGATACAGTTCTCGCACCTCCACGTCCCTGTACCGCCCACACAAATCCGAGAGAAAACCAAACGTAAGCCTCACGACTAGAGGCCGGTAACGGCTATCAAGAACGGTGCCCAGTCATCGAGCTTTGCAAAAACATGCTTGGCGTTCTTACTAGATATCTCCTAGCGGATCCAGAGGGTGGGTTATCGCATGCAAGGCTTACTGATAAGACCCGACCATACCACGACACATCCGGAGGACATGCATGGCCAAGAGAACGAAGCTTGACTACGACTCGCATAACTCACTAATCGAGCTGCTTGTAGAAATACCAAGACTGCATGACGACAGTATCTTGACAGTAGCTTGAAGATGGCTTGATAAGAGGCCGTGGAGATAGGCGTTGTACGTTGGCCGACGGTGAGCTTGGCATTGGAGCTGCATGAGTTGGAGATCACGAAGAGTATAAAAGGTCATTTCAAGTTCCTAAGGAAGTCGATTGTGATCCAGCTACGTACCTCCTTCATACGCAAAGATGAAGCTCTCTACCCAACTCCTCCCTCTTCTCACGACTCTTACACTAGCTTCACCAATTGATCTCAGTCGCTCGAATCGTCACCGACTGTTCGTAAGACAAGACATCCAAACACCCATCAACGCTTCTCTCCCCAATGTCACCATCTTCGCAACCGGTGGTACAATCGCGTCTCAGGGCAACAGCAACACGCAGACGACCGGCTACTCAATCGGCCTCGGGGTACAACAACTCGTAGATGCAGTCCCCGAACTCCTCAATATCTCGAACATTGCCGGCTACCAGATCTCGAACGTGGGATCTGGTAGCATCAATGAGACTATCAGCCTGAGTCTGGCGCATATGATCAATGCTGAGTTGGCGAAAGATGAGATTTCGGGTGTTGTGGTTACACATGGAACGGATACGCTTGAGGAGACTGCGTTCTTCTTGGAGAGTACTGTTAACTCCACGAAACCTGTTATTGTCGTTGGTGCTATGAGACCAGCGACCGCGCTGAGTGCAGACGGACCGCTCAATCTATACCAAGCGGTCACACTGGCCGGATCTCCAGCTGGAAGAAACCGAGGAACGATGGTGAGTAGATCAATCAACGCCGAACTAGAAACGCAAGTTAACAATACCCTCAGATCGTACTCAACGACCGCATCGGCTCTGCATTCTACACAACCAAGAACAACGCCAACACACTCGACACATTCTTCTCGACCGAAGCCGGACAACTCGGTGTCTTCATTAACCAAGTTCCGTTCTTCTTCTTCGCACCCTCTGAACCCGTAGGCCGCGTAGTTTTCGACGTAACCAACGTCACTGACTTGGCCTCCGTACCAATTCTCTACGCCCACCAGGACATGGATCCCAGTCTTTTCAACGCATCCTATGCCTCCGGCGCCCAAGGAATCGTTTACGCCGGAGTTGGCGCAGGAGGTGTGTCGAGTAAGGCAGGTCTAGCTGCCGAAGAGCTCTACAACGCGACGGGTATTCCGATCGTGGCTAGCCATCGAAGTGCAGATGGACTCGTACCAGACGGTGGCGACTTCACTATTGCGAGTGGGTTTTATAATCCGCAGAAGGCGAGGATTCTATTGCAGCTGGGACTGACGATGGGATGGGGTGAAGATGAGATCAGAGAGGCTTTTGCGTTGAGCTATCCTGCGCCGTGAGCAGGTTTTGTCGTTCTTAGCAAAATTGACAACGTTCATGAGGCAAAGCAACTGCAGCCTAACCCGTCTCGTTCACAGCTTTCCACACCTGTTAGCAGGCTCAATGTGGTGATGATGCCAAGACGGGTATGTCGGATGAGTGGTAAGCAGAGTACGTCGAGTGAAGTCTGCAGTAGGTTGCCTAACTGGCGACAATCTGTCCTGGTCGTCGGTGGTTAGTTGCTAATCGTCCCAATGAGCTTGGATCTGTCGCGGGATGAGACCGTTAGGGAGGAATACGCGACGTCGCTGTCGCGTCGCTCACATGCAGTCGGACTACGATAGGTCGGGCTGATTATGCGACGGGGCCAACATCGATCGCGTACGTGTTTACGGCAGATTGCGCGATGCGGCGTTGGAGTCGTTGGTGCACAGCCTACCAAAATCCAGGGCAAGCCAGATCTCACGTTGTTAGCCGCAGGCCGTAGGGTCTTGCACCACCGACGTCATGACTTGGCGCTACTTTAGGAAGTCACTCATCTTCCCCATAACTAGGTTCATTGCCCGGCATTGATGATAGCCAAGTCAAACCTAAAATCGCAATTATGTCAAATGATATCGCAGCAAACCGCTCTGGGCTCAAGGACTTTATTGGTTCCATAGCGACCATCTCGGGAGATCTTTCAAACATTACTGCACCGCCGTTCGTACTGGCCGAGAACTCGACAGTTGAGATACCACAGTACTGGGCGGATCATCCATATCTCTGGGCTGCACCGGCGTTGGAAGAGGACCCTGAGAAACGCGCGTTGCTTGTGCTCAAGAACTTCCTAGGCTCATTACGAGGACAGCAATATGCGGGGCGGAATGAGGAAGATGGCGTCAAGAAGCCGTTGAACGCGTTTCTCGGCGAACTCTTCCTCGGAAGCTGGAATACTGAGGAGCTGGGCGAGACGCGATTAATCTCCGAGCAAGTCGGCCACCATCCACCTGTAACGGCGTGCTATCTGTGGAACGATCAAGTTGGGATCCGGGCGGAGGGGTTTACGGAGCAAGAAATCACGTTTTCTGGAAACGTCAGTATCAAACAGAAGGGATATGCCATAGTACATGTCGACAAGTACGACGAAGATTACCTCCTTCCACTGCCGAACATTAAGGTCAAGGGTCTCTTAGGCGGGGTTCCACATCCGGAGTTGTACGGCGAATATTCCCTCATCTCATCCAACGGCTACATATCGCATATCAAATTCGAGGGCAAATCTTTGTTCGGCTCAGGGCATAAAAATGGGTTCCACGCAAGATTTTTCCATGCAGACAAGCCTGGTGAGACCATCTACGAAATCGAGGGAGCGTGGAACAGCACGTTTACCATCAAGGACGCGCGGAACGGTTCCGAGGTGGAGACCTTCGACGTCAGAACCATCAAGCACAAACCCATGACTGTGCCCGACCTCTCAGAGCAAGACCCATGGGAGAGTCGCAAAGCATGGGGCGATGTTATATCATCCCTGCACAAAGGCGACATGAAGGGCGTTTCAACTGCGAAGAATGTAGTCGAAAATGGCCAGAGGCAGATGCGGAAAGACGAAGAAGCGAAGGGCGAGGAGTTTCAACACGTCTTCTTCAAAACAGTACCCAACGACCCGATCTTCGATAGATTAGTAAAGCATGACCCGCAAGCTTACACTGTCGATCCGTCAGGCGGCATTTGGAAAGTCGACAAGGAAGCCGCGAAGCAGCGACAGCGCCCGTTCCACGACAACCTCACACCATCAAACGAAAGGGTGGGTGGAGCGCAAACGCAGGGGCGGACGCAAGAGGGCAGAAGATCAATAAATGACCAAGATCAGCAACGCAGTGGGGCTGCTGGCGCAGTGGGCACGGCAGCGACGTCTAACGGCTCTGCACCGGATGGGCCGGTTCAAAAGGTCGGCGACGTGAGCCCACGTGCCGAACAACGTCCAGATTCGGCAGTGGGGAGCAAAGGGGAGTCCCGCAGTCAACCGGCCAATGTGACGGAGGTAAGTGATGAGATGGTTGAGAATTTCTTGAGGGCAAAAACGAGTAATGTACAGTAAGCGGTGATTGTGAAACTTGGAGTTGATCATGCGCTAGAGTTTGACCTGGATTATGTAGTTTTGGATACATAGATCCCTTTAGTCAAAACGTTCTAAGGTTACATACACCGCCAACGAATCTCGCTTCAACTTGCATGTATCGATGGGGGCAGAGCATCGTACATGAGCTCTATACCACGCGAGACATCACGACATCCCTAAAGCAACTGTAACATATGCAAATCTGATGTATATATCCTTTTTTTGTATTGTTTTGACTGGCTCGCGCCGCCATGAGGATGGTATCATGAATCTAAATTAGCTAATAACAAGGTCGTCCATATCGTTCACTGTCCACTCCAGTTGCCTTCTCCATTCCTACCGCCTCTCGTTCTTCTGGTTGATGTGCGTCTCCATTGTGATTTCTCCAACTCGGCATTCCTCATCAGACACCTTCCCACCGCCCTTTATTCTCCAAGTGTTGAACACCTTGTCGCTCTTCTCGTTTTCCGCGGATAGATCATCGCGGAGCCGTACTGGCTGAAGGTTGCCCATGCCGTAGTCCTGGTCGATCTCCGACTTCGTAGACACACCCTTTTCAGTCTTCAGCAGAGACATTGTCATGCTGAAGAGACTAGGCTTCTTTTTCGATTCTCTGTTCGGGTCGTTGACCCATTGTGGTGTTCGCATATTCGAAGGACGTGACGGGCCGAAGGAGGAGTTGCTGAATCCGAATTTCTCAGAAACTTGTCGCCAGAGGGGACGGAGAGTAGCGAGGGAACCAGCCGTGATGGCGAGACCCTGTTCGATGTCCGACCAGATTGCGATATCAACAGTGGCCCAGAGAAAGTCGGGGTTCTTGAAATCCATAACGTAGCCCATGCGCACACAGACTGCGACACTAGCACTGCAATATTGTTAGGAATCGTTTGCTGAAGTAATGACAAAAAGACTTACACGCAGGCCATCCCAAGAATAGGAATCAAAAGGACCCTGGTCTTGACGGACATGTTCAAGCCCCAGATCAGGAAGAAGGGTAGAATAGCAAACGTGAAGTCGCTAATGACCGAGATTGCGCTGTACAGGAACGTAAGACCGATGATGACGTCTACGTTGATGCAAGTCCCTTCTGGGTTGTTCTTGTCCCAGAAGAAGCTGATCGGGTGGCATTGGAAGAGGGTGACGAAGAAGAAGACGAGGCCGCACAGCACCGTGAGGCCCATCGCAGCGTAAATGATGTACCTGAATGAGGAGTATGAAGTCAGTCACTGAATCTTGTGAGACTAACGCAAAGGCATGGCTTACTTGTGCAGTTTCTTAACAGTGACACGGAGAAGGAACAGGCCAATGGACATCTTTGACGTAATCATTGCCCAGCAGTACGCGATGTAGCAAAGCCACCAGTACTATACATACTGTTAGAGTTGAGATCGAGACAAGTTCAAAGGTTCGCACGTACCCTCATTGCTTTGTACTGTTGCTCACTCGAAAGTGTGTCCATATGGCGTCCAGTGCCATAGTGGATACCGCCAATTGCGCAGGTAGCAAACATAACATGAGCACACAATGCGGCCACCATCCACCAGTCGTCTGCTCCGAAAGCTTTAACGATACGGGCTCGTACGTAAACTCGCAGGACAGTGGTAATGAACGCTAGCGAGACGAACGTTGAGCACACCTGCGGATGTCAGTCAATGGTCTCCACTTCCTTCAGCGTCTTTGAACATACCGCCTGCAGTTCAGGTCCTCGGTTCGCAAGTTCGTGCCTTGAAGCCATGGTGAAGGCGTGAATTCGGGCAAATCTGGTTCACCCCCAGGTTCTGAAGAATCCGGCGGGTTTTGGCTCCATATACCTCGTACCCGGGCCCTTGGGTACCAGCCAAGTTAAGTCAGCCCACAGTCAAGCGAGTCTCGATTCGATGGGTGCCCAGGGGAAGGGCGGCTCGTGGGCCTGCCATGTGCTACTGAATCAGGAATGGCAAACACCGCCGGCATGTCAGAGCAGGGTCCGCTTGCACGCCATGCTGATCAACGCCCAGACGTTGCGATAGGACATCAGGGATGTTGTGGCGATTATTCCCGCGGCTTCGCAGCTGCTGTTCTGGGAGTTCTCCTACCACGTTGTCCGCCTGAATCATAGACGATCATAATTTGTTGACGGAGAACTGCGGCTCGTGAAGCTCCCGCAATCTAGACTACCCGCGCACAATTAACGTCGACGGACTCCGTTCCGACAATCAAGTGCCCGCTTTGGCTGCAGACGTCAGAGTTTTCGGTGCTCAAGTTCCCGTGTTCAAGTTCCCGTGTGTGCAAGCCTGTGGATCCGCTCTGGTCCCACAGGCTGACCTCGATGTTGATTTCTAACATTGGTGAATGCCGGTTAAATGCCAAGCGTCAATGTCGCGTGGCCCAGGAACAGGAGGGATCCGCGTTTTCCTCAGGGACGATAGTCAACGCATGTGTACATGCGCAGGTGCATACTAGACGTGACTCTGTTGGGGATGAAATTTCCGGCGGGGCGTGCTAAGCGAGGCGATCTAGCACGATCTTGGTAAGACACGTGGAAGCTACAGGGTAGCGGACGACGTCGGCGACCGTTAGCGGCAGATCGTGAAACTGGGCTTCGAGATACCGAGGCATGACTGGGTGATGATTGGGAGCTGGGACACGACTCATCAGCAATGCATACCAAGGCACTTAGAGACGGCTTGTTCAGTAGCGGAACTGTCACTCGGGTCAGCATTAACCCTTTGAAGGCGACGGAGGCGACTCCGAAACAGTACGTAAGGCTGTTGACATCTGATCGAAAGGGGAACGCCCAAGGAATGATACGAGCGATGAACCACGAGTCGTACTGACATCGTTGACAGATTCGGACAGATCAGTCCGATATGGAAACGAGCTGCATCTATCCGCTCGAAAAGAGACCAACACGGACGATGCTGGCCAGCAATCCTTGTGTCTTTCACACCGCAGCACCTCTCTGCACTCAGATAGAAGATCGTCCTCATAATCAGCCGGAGGATTTCGTTGGCCAAGTGGACACGGAGGACACGGAACGAAACCCAACTGGCCAGGAAACAGATACGTTCAACGACGATCGCATCCTAACGTAATGTTTCGGGTCATCACGAACTGCCCGACCCTCTACGCGTTCCCACTACTCAGGATTGCGTCGGCAGTAGCAACTCGCGTTGACACTAACATCAGCTACAGCAAGTGCTATCCTGAGTTGCTGCCCAATGATTCCCGCCTCGTCTTTTCGACCCAAGGTTATCAAACTCTCATGGTAGCCGCGCAAGGCCCATACGTTGTTCGGATGTTGCCTTGCCCGCGGTAGCGTATCATCGAACCCAAGGTCTGCTTTATAGGCCGCTGCCGCATCTTCTATTCGGCCCTGCTCCAACAACAGAGCGGCATAGGCGTGTCGTGTCGGCTGCATCCAGGGCCATGGCTCGGCGTACACCAGATCGTCGTCACGCTGGATGGCTGTTTCGAGGTGTCCGAAGGCTTCCTCATAGTTGCCTTTGCGGTACTCAAGTTCGCCGTCCAGCATTGCTAACCCAACTCGAAGGACGACATTAGACCTGCATGGGTTAGTATGCCCTTATAGCCCGCCATTCCGGATAGTTTGACTGTATGCACCGTACCTGTTTGGAAAATCCCCACATATCCGAGATGCTGGAATACGTCCAACTGCTTCGACCAGAGCGTCGCGTTCCTTCTGTGCCTTCACGATGTCGCCAGTAACGGCATACGCAATACCTTTGCCATAATGCGTCATAGCCGTTGTCACACAGTGAAGATCTCTATCCGATGGCATCTCGAGTGCGATGAGATCTTGCCATTGCCCGAAGCGAACCAGGACATGTACACGAACTGATGCAAAGTTCTCCAGCCAGTCTGCCATGGGCGGACTTTCGATGCGCAGAAGCGAGACAGGCAGTGAGGCTTCCATGCGGTCGACCGCATCTAGCGCAACCTTCAGTTGCCCCGCAAACATCGCTGCGTATATGAGCGAGTGATAGTTGTGCATCATGTAAAATGAGTAGAAGTTTTGTGCTCCATGCTCGGAGACATACTTCTCATCTGCAAGGCAGGCTTGGGTGTTAGCGTCTATGGCACGTCGATAGTCGCCAACAAGGATGTCCAGATGGGAGGGCATATGTCTATAGGTCTCTAGAGTTAGTATGTGCCTTACGGAGGCTTCTTGCATGCACTTACAGCAAATGTCCTCCGTCGGGGGTAAGATGTCTTAGCTGATCTGCACAGATAAGAGCTACTTCAGGTGTTGCTGACATCTCCATCAAATGAATGTACAGGTGGAGAACTCCTGGGTGCAGATGTGAGCCGTCCTGCTGTAAAGCCTTTTCGAGCACGGTCTTCGCCTCTAATGAGCGAGCACCTGGCGTCGGTTGGCCCGTCTTGAGATCCCATAGATTCCATGCCGAGAGACAGACAAGAGAGTCTGCGTAGAGAGCCGCCACGTCAAGGTCGTCAGAGAAACGCTCGTAAACACCCTCCATAGCTTTGGCATACTCTTTATTACATGCTTGGAACGCAGCCTCATCTAGACCTTTCGGCACGCGCACTTGAACGGCGTCGATCAGGGCTCTTTCCAGATCCGACGCACTGGATGCGTGTAGTTCGGCCTTTTCGTTCGCTTCATTTATCTTTCCTAGTGTGGCCTTGAGTTCTTTCTCGTCAAACAAGTCCCAAGGCTTGTTGTAATTCGGTCCGAGGGCGAACGCGAGCTGCGCCGATCAGCTGGGTTTACAAGACATCCCTGGGAGACCATCAGAAACCTACACCCCAATAAGCTATCGCGCAATTCGAGTCTTCGCTGATAGCTCGTTCAAAGCATCGGGCTGACTCCTCATGGTGAAAGGCGTAGCACCAGACCAAACCGCGATCGAACCATGTTTGCGAATCTGGGCTGGAGGTGCTAATCTTGCGATGGTAAGAACCCAGATCGTACTGGTAGGAAGTTGAGTCGCGCATCGTGGTTATCGCTGGGTAGGTGTATGAAGGGCGGGAAGCCGACGGGTCGGCCGGAGGCGGGGCCCGAGTGGGGGCTTCCCTTGGCCTCTCTTCTGATTTCCCGCGAGGATGGCCCCCAACCCAAACATCACTCGCAGGCCACTGCCATCACATCAACACCCGGCCTGCCGTGATCAAGCAATCGCTGACCGATGGAATTTCTCTTGCTTTTTGTGTGACTACCTCACTATCCAGGCAACTATTAATATAACTTTCTTCGAATTGGCCCCAATGTTGTACGCGTGTTGCTATCTATAGCGCCGGAAACTTCACTCATGGCTCCAGACAGGTGGGATCACGTAGATAACCGCGCTGTGTTTTCTTGGAAAGCTCTCATGTGGTCGCCGACGCACATCGTGGCAATTGCGATCATGTTCGACATTATTTATACATTGGTGCAGCGCCGTGAGGGGAGTGTGAAAAAGAAGCGACTAGGCAGTGCAAGCCCCGCGGGAAAGCGTGCTTCTCCCGCCCCGACTGTTTCCCTTCCAACATACGTACCTCTCTGCCCAAAACCATGTTTCCGACAAGCGTTATTCGAATTCATTTCTTCTCCTGTAGATACACATAATGCGCAAGTTCCGGTCCCGTCAGCTCTTTAGTGAGTGCATATTACGACGCACTGGAAGGATGTGGATAATGGGGCCACAAGTTGCCCTTGCCGTTCGTGCATATTGTGAGGTCACACAGCTAAGGTTGGCACCACCGGTGGTCCAACAAGAATCTCTCATCAAGGGCTCCATGGGTGTGGCTGACTAGACCTGGGGCGCTTTCTATGTTGTTGTAGTTTCATCTCACTCAGCCATTTGTAGCAGCCCTCCCTCCAAAATTGTCTGGATGCTATTCACCTTTCTCACTCTCTATGTACTAAGTCTCTGTACACACAAACTCCAAGATGAACGACGGAAGATCGATATCCCCCGAATTTGGTCCGTCGTCTGCAACTTCGACAGGAAGATTCGCCTCTTCGCGACGACCTATGTCATTCCAAGCAGCAACCTATAGCTTTGCAGACGATGTGGATGCTTCTGAAGAGCCTCTGGTACACTCCAACTCTACAAGTCATCTCAGTAACGACCCTACCACCGAGCGAGCAACTGCAGTCTCGGTTCACAGCTCGGATGCTGCGAATCTCGAGAAAGCAAGCAAAACGCCTTCTCGACTTCGCAAAACTGTGCTCTCATGGGTTTTCGAGATTTTCGCATTGATCGCAAGCATCGCCTCAATCGCCGCGATAGTGATCATTCTCATTGGCCAAGACAACAAGCCGGTCACGGCCTGGACATTCATCTTTACGCTCAACACGATCGTGGCCCTTCTCGGTACGATAGCAAGAACTACTCTAGCGTTTGCTATGAGTGCCTGCGTCGGGCAGCAGAAATGGAGCTGGTTGCGCAGAAGGTCAGACTCTGTACTTGCATTTGAAAGGTTCGACGAAGCGAGCCGTGGGCCCTGGGGCGGGTCTCGTCTTTTCCTTTGGTTGCGTTTCAGGTAAAGACCCCTGTGAGCATCAAAACGAAATACCAAAACTGATTCGATTGCAGACACTGGGCAGCTCTTGGTGCTCTAGTCACCGTAGGTATGTCATGGATGGTCGACCTATTTCATCCTCGATAGCTAGCTCACAGCACTTCATTGTAACTCCTTCGTACACTTATCAATCTCGAGTTCTGTATATGTTTTTAGAATCAGGCTAACACTGCATTCTCTTAGGTACGGTCGCATTTGATCCCTTTTTCCAGGCGGTCATCTCTACCTACGGAAAAATCGATGATATAGCAATGGGCTCAATCGCTGCCGACATCGGGCCAACTTTTAACGCTACCATCGGCCGATCTTTGAGGGTTGACGGTGGATACATAATCGAGAATCCAGGCGGAGCCTTAGGGGCAATCAAAACACCGTCTGGTACATTGCAATACACATCTACCAAGAGTCGGCCAGACTTTGGGATCGTCAGCTCTGTCAATGGAGGGTTCTATAATGCCTCCACGAACGCCCCCAACAATGTCGCCTTTACTTGCTCTACGGGTAATTGTACCTGGCCAGCGTTTGTTTCGGCTGCTGTATGCAGTTCTTGCAAGGATATCTCTGATGCGCTCGTATTCAACGGGTCGCAAGCGTTGAACGGCACGAACGGGTCGAATGTTCCAGCCACTACCTACAGGCAGCCGAATGGGTGAGTGTCGTCATACGAAATGGATATCAGACATACACTGACTTCACATATCTACATTCAGACCGTACTCTGTGTTCTCATTACCAGAGACTGAGATCAGGAACTGGAACGGTCTGTCGAATGTGGACGACGACGATTGGTACACGTATACCACGGGCGCTGCATCAGGGACCCCACGAACGTTCATGACCGTGAAGATAGGGTCTACTGCACGCCAGACCCTGAAACATTTTGATGTGCAAACTTTGATGATGAGCTTCAAAATCATCAAAGCCCCTGATGACTGGGTCAAATCGAAAGTGCCATGGGAATCGTCACATCCTGTTGCAACAGAATGCGCGTTGTATTTCTGTTCGAACATCTATCAAGCCAGTAGTAAGAATGGTGTGCTCGAAGAGCACGTCATCGGATCTTGGGCTGTTCGAGACCCCGACTCCCACAAGATATACGAGACCATCGGGTCTCTGGATTCGGAAGATGAAAGATACGTGGATAGCACCGGATACGACCTATACAATCCTACGATAGATTTCCCGAGACACGACCTTCGACTTCTCATTCCTTCTGAACAGGCTGGGGGCTTCTCTCCAATGGCGGCACAAGAGGTGAACATATCTCACGCGCTTCTTCGAAGTACCATCGACTATCTCCACGTCTTCACGAGCTATGCTGCAAAGCCCAGTGGTAAGCCACCGCCCTCTTTGATCGCCTTTCCGGATGAAGACGCACCGGCTTTCGTGGACGCTTTATGGAACTCGACAAATCTAACCACAACATTCGAAAATGTAGCTCGTAGTCTCACGAATCAGATCCGAAACACCTCTCCTAATCGATTCGAAGGCGTCACACAACGCTGGGTCACGCACGTGCACGTCGACTGGGCATACATGGCTTTTCCAGTCGCAATGCTCTCGATAGGAATTCTATACGTGATTCTCGTTATAATAGAATCTGCGCGACTGAGAATACCAGTATGGAAGGAGAGCGCGCTTCCCACACTGACGTATGGATTCGATAATGAGACACAACGGCTGCTGAGGGAGACGGCACACTACAAAGGAGATAAGAAGGTTAAGACGAGTGTGAGGTACGACCTGGATAAACAGGAGGACTGTTTGAGATTGATGGCTGATTAGAGAACGGCTGTTTAAAGGCTTGATACTCTTCAGACGCGTCGATGTTCGGGCAGGTACGAGGGATTTAGCGCGTTCTGGAATAGGCAAGCTTCAGATTGTTCTGGGCGGCAATTTTGGTAGGAAGTCCCGTTTTTACGATAATGACATCAGTGCACGAGAGCTTGGATATTTCATTCCTTTTACTAGCTGTCAGTAAACGCGTGAGGTTCGTGTCATAGCCCTGGAGCCCAAGTCGCACGCGATGGGGTGGCTGGTCGATAATCGCGCTAGCATCTAGTTACGTCACCCCACTTCGTTCCGATCGTGAGAGGACTCATTCCGAGCACTGCATCGCTCAGATCACGCCACGAAGTGAGTCAACGTATCAAACCTCCACCACAGCTTGAAGTGACCAATGCTCGCATCCAGGTGTACAAGCATCCTCAACAGATATTCGAGAACCGTCCCAACTACGAGTTCCATACGCTACTTCGCATCACCCTTCCTTGCACAACATCCTCCACAACGACCAAAAAGCATGCTGCACTCAGCCACCGAGTCAGCGAAGAAGATCTTCGCACCAACAAGCAACTCAGAAGACCCCGGCCATGCAACTCAGTACAACAAAGGCGCACTAGACCGTCAGGACCTCCTCCCCTCGCCAACCGACCAATTCCACAAGTGGTTCGAGGAAGCGCAAGCCAACAACGTGTACCAGCCTGAAACCGTCGTCTTATCCACCGCAGAACTACCCAGCGGAAGAGTGTCAGCACGCACGCTCTACATGAAAGAGCTGGACGAGCGCGGCTTTGTCATCTACTCAAACTTCGATACAAGTCGCAAGGCGAGCGACATACGAAGCAATCCTCATGCGGCATTGACTTTCCACTGGCGCGAACTGGAGCGTCAAATTCGTGTCGAAGGAACAGTAGAGCGGCTTACGAATGAGGAGTCGCAGGTTTATTACGATACGAGGATTCGTGGTTCAAGGATTGGCGCGTGGGCAAGTCAGCAGAGTAGTGTGATTGAGAGTAGGGAGCAGCTAGAGAAGAGAGTAGAGGATGTAGAGAAGAGGTTCGATGGCAAGGATATGATCCCCGTGCCGGAGTTTTGGGGCGGGCTGAGAATTGTGCCGGATATGGTGGAGTTTTGGCAGGGACGGCCAAGTCGACTCCATGATCGCTTTGTTTACAGGAAGGTTGGCGGGGAGGACAACACCGAGAAGATGAAGGGGGCAGAGTGGAAGATTGAGAGGCTGAGCCCGTAAGGAGGGAGGGCTCGCACTCAAGTCAGCTGTTTTCGTGCTAGGCGGAGGGTCAGAAATCATCGCAAGATCAAACATCAGATCGAAAGCCAACGGAAGTTAAAGCTACGAACAGAAGCATTGAATATGCTATGGTATCATTCATTCCTTTTGATCATGCGATAAGTCATAAAGTATAGACAAGACGTTTCCCAACCGCTTAGACCTCTCCATATAACGCCAGAAAATGTTCATAAATTTTCATAAGAACGACGAGATGCGACGAAATCCATCAAGACCTCCAACTTCACACCAAGCTGATAGGCTTACTCGCCATCCGACTCCATTTCCGCAGTCTATGAGGGTGTTAGCAATGCATCTCATGAATGGTCTGATTCCTTGGAACTTACGTTGTCGTGGAAGTTTGTTCCATGAGTGGTCTCGTTGATGTAGCCCTTCCTGATGACGAAGTCACCGAAGTGCTCACCCTCGTTCCTCTCCTTAGCGTACTGCTTGATCATAGGCTGCAGGATCTCAAGGATCTCTTCTTCCTTGATCGAGCTCCTGTAAAGCTTGTTCAGCCTTTGACCGTGGTAGCCACCACCAAGGTACATGTTGTATGCGCCATAAGCCTTGCCGACGAAAGCAATCTCAGCAAGCCATGGACGTGCGCAACCGTTGGGGCAACCAGTCATGCGCATGACGATGCTGTCTTGTCGTAGCCCAGATTCTTCGAGCGTGCCCTCGAGCTTGGAGATCAGCTCGGGTAGGTAGCGTTCAGACTCAGCCATAGCAAGACCGCAAGTGGGGAAGGCAACACAGGCAGAACTGGACAACCTCATTGCAGAGAAGTTGGTGTTGTCAAGCTTCCACTTCTTGAGCAGCTCCTTCATAGCAGGCAGGTCTTCGTCGGCGACGTTGGCCAAGATCAAGTGCTGGTTACCAGTCAACCTGAACTCACCCTTGTGTACCTTCGCCACCTCGATCAGACCTGTCTTCATTGGGAAGTCGGCAGTGTCTTCAATGCGGCCGTTCTCAATGAAGAAAGTGAAGTGGTTGAGACCAGTCTCGTCCTTCTGCCAGCCAAAGGTGTCGATGTTGCTTTGGAACTTGAAAGGTCTGGGCTCGTCGAACTTCTGCCCCCAGAGCTCTTCGACCTTTCCCTTGAATACATCGATACCCATATCATCAATGGTGTACTTGAGACGGGCGTGCTTCCTGTTCTTGCGGTCACCGTGGTCACGTTGGACGAGCATGATCTTCTCGCAAGCAATGTGCACTTGGTCGGCTGCGACGTAGCCGAACATGCTTCCAGTTCGCGGGTAGGTCTTCTTGTTGTTGTGCGTCACACCCATACCGCCACCAGCAAGTAGGTTGAAACCTACGAGGTTGTCGTCCTCACCCTTAATGGCAATGAGACCGATGTCGTGAGCGTAAACATCGGTGTCGTTGTGAGGTGGAATGGCAATGGTGATCTTGAACTTTCGCGGGAGGTAGAGAGGGCCATAGAGTGGCTCGTGGTCCTGGACGGCTTCACCGGCGATCTTGCGCTTCTCCTTTGTCTCATCATCCTCCAGCCAAATTTCGTGGTAGGCGGTGGTGGAAGGAAGAAGGTGGTCACTGATCTTCTGCGCAATGTTCTGAACCTGGCCGTGGTACTTTGACTGAGTTGGGAGAGAGCTGCACATGACGTTTCGGTTGACATCACCGCAAGCCGCGATAGTGGTCATCAAGGCTTTGTTGATAGCCTGCATAGCCGGCTTGAGCTTACCCTTCACAACGCCGTGGAATTGGAAGGTTTGGCGAGTGGTTAGCTTCATGGTCTCGTTACCGAGCTTGGTGCTAATCTCATCCATCTGCAGCCATTGCTTGGGCGTCGAGACACCACCAGGTAGTCGGCAGCGGATCATGAAGGAGTATGCTGGCTCGAGACCTTGGGCCTTACGTTGGTCGCGAAGATCACGGTCATCTTGCATGTAGGTTCCGTGGAACTTGGTGAGCTGTTGATCGCTTGCAGAGATGGCACCGGTGCTGGTGTCGGCCAAACCCTCCTCAATGGTTCCTCGGAGGAAGTTTGAAGCTGCCTTCATATCCTCGTTGGTCAGCGGCGCCGGTTCCTCAGGAAGGTTCTCGACGTTGGCAACACCAAGCTGCTCCCAGAGTTTTGGCTCCCACTCAGAGTACGCAGTCTGGTACGCATCTGGGTCCTGGTCATCTCCAAGACCACACTCGGCCAGAGGCTTAGCACCAAGAGTGAGCAGACGAGCATGTAGGTCCTTTGCGGGCTTGTTGTAGTAGATCTTGTCCTCCTTGCGTGGCCAGTAGTGACTGTCACCGAGACCGAAAACACCAAAGTTGACTGTTGCAAGATCCAGATCCGTAGAGTCCTTGACGGTCTCCCAGAACGTGCGACCATTCTGAGGGAACTCTCCTTGACCAGCTACACTAGTCATCAGGATGACGTTTTGCTCGTTAGGCAGATCTTCGATTGGGAAGTCGTCCATAGCCATGACCATAGTCTTGAGACCACGAGCCTTGCCGCGATTCCCTAGACGCTTGGCTAGATTCTCAGCATTACCGTTGTCGGAAGCGAAGAGAATGGTCATAGGATCGCCCTGGAGTCCTTCAAGAAGCTTGCTGTAAGCATCCTTGGCCTTGCGCTTTTGCAGTTGCCTGACTTCGGTTCCGTAGGATCCAGAGATGTTGGATGAGAACTCAGGATGTCTCTTCATGACCTGAGACATGTAGTTGTCACGGGACAGGAACTCCTCTAGCTCCTTCTTGATTCGCTCCGAGTCAAGTTTGAAGTTCTCTTCACCCTTCTCCTCGGCGCGTGGGTCCCATCGGTACAATGGCCAGTAACCAAGGTCAACAGCCTTCTTGGTCTCTTGCAAGACAGTCAGGGGCGTGTCGTTCTCCTTCTCGTACGGCAGGTAAGCAAGCACGACGGAGGGACCGTTGAATTTATCAGCCTCGATCATGGCCTCAAGAACCTGGGTGTAAGAGCTGTATACAGCAACCGATGCCACGTAAGCGTTGCCGAAGTTCATTGCGTACAGACCAATGTCCTTCTTCCTCCTCGCAGCGTCGGCGGCTGCGCGCTCGGAATATGGTGTTGAGTCGACGATGAGCATGTTGACATTTTCGCCAGAGGCAAGGACGTGGTGCACACCAGAGTTACCCAGGTCGTACGCCCAGGCGTCCGAGCCAATCAACCATGGTGATTCCTTGTAGAACAGCTTCTTTGATGACAACAGCTGACTGGCAGCGGGCGAGCCGTCAGTACCCAAGCGTGCGATGACCTCAGAGGCCAGCTCGTTAGCCTTGTCGGTATCATCGGCGTTCAGTGCCCACTTCGACAGCCACTCCCTGGGCGCTTGGGTGGTGAAAGCGTTCTCCTTGGAAGCAGCCGCAGCCTCATCCACGAATCGCTGACGATGTTCCTTGCGCGCTACTAGCGAGCCGAATCCGTACTCTGGGGTGGAGGAGATCTCGTTGGAGATACCGGCGTGCTGCGAACCAAGCTGGTTAGCAATGTGAAGCTTCTCACCAAAGACCTGGTTCAAGATCTTCATGTAGGCGTTCTCTAACCCTGGTTGCTCGACCTTGATAGCCTGGGGCTCCGGTCCATCGAGGTTGCCGATGACGAGGTTTTGTACAGGCGTCTCGCTCATCAAGTTCTGGTAAACGCCGCGCATTGCTTGCGACACAGTATCCTCGTTGATGTAGCCAAGTTGGTATCCGACAACCGTAGGAGAGGCGCCACCGGTCGAGTTGAGCGACATCAGAAGGTCGAGCAGGACAGGACCCCATCGGGTAGTCTTTCGTCGAACTTGCTCCAGCACCGCGATCCTCTTAAGCGACCGGGGAAGCAAGGGGGCAAGGGACGCACCCAACCAGGGACGGTATAGCCTGGCTGTGATGACGGCTGTGTTGGCGTATGCCTTGGTCTCCTCCACGCTGTCCAACTCGGTGGCCCAAACGGCAGTGTCGGCACCAAAGAGGAAGATGGCGGCCTCCTCGTTACCAGTGCCAGAGAAAGCAAAGGCATCGTAGCTTCGTCCAGTGGCGTCACGGATGGTTCCCCAAATCTGTGTGGCGAAGCGGTAGATATCCTCGGATGAAACGGGCTTGGAGATCAATGACTCCACTGTGGTTGCCGAAGATACTGACGCGCCGCTGGTGCTAGCATCGCGCTGCGACGAGCCAGAAGAAGAATCGGCGCGTTGGCTGTTCCTCTCCGATGCAGGAAGCGACTTGGGATGCTCGGGAAGGCTGACAGGCGCTGCTGCTGGAGCGGCATTGACAGCCTGACTCCGAGCGAAGGACAGTGTCGGGTTCCTGCCATCGTCGGCGTATAGTGTGGTCTCCTCCGACTTGGTGTTTTGGTATGCCGCCACCGCGTCCAGGTCGATGACGCTTCGGACCAGGTCGGCATCCTCTACCTCGACAGTCTTCTTGAAAGCGGTCGCGCCCGAATCGAAGAAGTGGATGACACCCTTGCCCGACTTGATGGCCAAAGCATGGGCAGTGAGAGCAAGATCTTGCAACTCCTGTAGTGTCTCGGATTGGATGAAGGCGAATCCAGACTGTCTGATGGAGGTGATGTCGGAGAAGTCAGGGAAGCCCGAGGGCGCCACTGATACGTGGAGGACGACGGGATATTGTGCGAGCTTGTAAAGATGCGGTATCGACTTTACGAGAATGGACGAGGTTGTGGTGACGCTGGTGAGCTTGCCCGAGCGGATGGGCTGGAAGACGGAGAGCAGAGGGTCGGCATTTTGGCGGACAGTGAGGATCTGGGGAGGATGTTAGTGCGAGCCATTCGGCTGCAGTGAGCATGCGAACACACCTCTGGCTGTGTCTTGCAAACAACGCTGGGCGCGTTGTGCTTCTGGAGTCCCCGCAGAGGCTCCGAGAACTCGGACTCGGTTGTGAAGGAAGGGACGACCGATACGATCACATCGGAGGCCAGGTGGGCAATTCGGGCCACTACACAGCATGCAGGTCAGTATATGTGCATTTGCAGCCTCCCACTACTCTCCCATGGCGACATGATGGGGTAGAGCATTGGTGGGGCGAATGGTTGCGGGGACGTACCAGCCTCTCCTGCAGTCGAGATAGACCCCATATTGACTGCGAATTCAGGGTTGACGGTAACAGTAAGGAAATGTCTACGGGGGAGACGAGCAGTAGTAGTACTTCGGACCGTCGGCGACAGTCCTCATAGTCAGCGGCAACGGCAGTGGAAAAAATCCCTTTAAGAGGTCATGACAACGCGTGCCGAAAGCACGCAATTCTTTAGTGCAAGTCAGGGTCTGGGGCGAGGGCCGAAGAGCGGCGAATCAGACCATCATAGATGCGCGTTCGGTGTAATCAATCAGCCTAGATCGCCTTGTAGAGCTCGACGCGAGCCTCAAGACCGAATTTCTCCCATGGTGCATCTCGTGGTGGAGCCCCGTCCGATGGCCGCTGCGATGCTTACTGTCCGCTGCCTGAGTGGCCAGGTGAGGCAGCCGCCGCCTTGCCGCATGGAGATGTGCCGAGGATCCAGTCCGCTTATCGATAAGGCACCGGCTACCTCCACCTGTTCGCCTCTCCTGGCACGGCCGACACACGCATCATGGCATGAACCAGCACCCCCGTACGGCCAATCGTCGACACTACCCCTACCGTAATCGCCTACATCTGCATCTGATGTCGTGATTAGCGCACTTTTGTTGCAATGTATACCGCCTCCGGATTTTCAGATCCCCTTGTCTCCGATACCCCGCTGCCCTTCGACGAGCTATGCACGCGCATCAATGACCGCATAGTCACGTTTCTCGACGCGACAGATGTGTCTGATCGCGTCAAGAATGTGCAGGAGCAGACGCGAACCTCGCTGAGGGTCATAGGAGAGGCTCTGGAGAAGTACAGGTTGGTGCTGACCATGTAGGCGGCGTGCGGAAGCTAGGGACTGACAGCTACGTAGTCTACCAGAGCTGTCTTTATCGTATAATGGCGGCAAAGACTGTTTAGTTCTTCTTATACTATACCTCTGCGCCATGCACAGGCGGGGTCTTACGCAGACCCCAAATCCCTCGTCCAGCATCGAAACCGCCGTACAATGCGTGTACATACAGGACGCACATCCCTTTCCCGAGGTCGAGGAGTTCGTCGCGCATAGTAGCAAGATATATTGGCTCGCCTTGCTAGAATACGCGAAACCCATGAAGGCTGCCTTCGCCGACTACTTGAAAGACACGCCATCTGTCAAGGCGATCCTGGTGGGGACACGGCGGACGGATCCGCATGGCCAACATCTGAAGTTCTTTGACCCGACCGACTCCGGGTGGCCAGCCTTTGTGCGGATACATCCTGTCATAGACTGGCACTATGTGGATATATGGACCGTACGCGCAATACACACACTGTATGATATGCTTACTGACTTCTTCAGTTTATACGTTTCCTCAACATACCTTACTGCTCACTATACGACCGCGGATATACCTCGTTAGGTGGAACTACTGATACTCACCCAAACCCAAAGCTCGTACGCCAGCCGTCTACGCAACAAGTACCCCAGACTGGGAATGGGACAGGCGCCTCGAAGCCGAAGTTTAGGCCGGCATACGAATTGGTGGATGACTACGAGGAAAGACTAGGTAGAGATAGGTAGACACATGTCGGTACTGCATATCCACTGCACCTGCATTGTTTTGTTATTTGGCGCGATGGCGCTCGTTCCTGGTTGGTAGGAATGCTTTCTACTCTGCGGGCAGCGATCGCTTCCCTGGATACACCTGGTCACTGTGTTGAGGCATGACACTTGTCAGCACGAGCTGATTTGGTATATCATATCTATTGTACAGCCATCTATACGTCGCATCACATTATCCCCACTCGCATGGTTGGTTCTGAATCCATCGTCTTTTACTAAGATTCGTATCCAACACCTATCCGAGCACCATTCCACTGCCTTTTTCTTGCGTCGTTTCAATTGGACGGATATTTGGAGGGTATTTTAGTGCGACTGCAACGACAGCGTACCCGTTGATAGCAACCGCAGTCTTTCACAATCACGGGAGCCGAACATCGTCACGACACACATGTAACCGTGTTATCATCCTGTGCAACAAGCACATGATATGCACATTGATAAACGTTTTTTGGACATTCTGCCTGGTACGTTTAACTCTTCTATGTCAGTCGTACCCGAAGCTAACCTATGCAAGATGTACAGGAAAGCGACGATCAAGTTTTGCAGCAATCACACCAAGGCCAGGGCAACAAATAGCGTAAAGTTGACGGAACCACAGTTATTGCGTAACAGGATATATGCGAGGCCAATTCAGGCGCTGGCATGATAGAGGCGCCTCTCTGTCCACCATGCTTTTCAGAATCTGTCTTCCCATTGTCTTCCTCTTAACGCTCGGAAACTGTTCAGATGCCATCCCAGACGTGCACTCCGAACTTACCCCGGGACCAGGTTTTCCGTCTCTAGCGTCTCTGAATCTTACTGCAGCTGATCTACTTGAGTGGCCAATAGTACGAGGTTCCAGCGGTGAGCACGTATCCTTACAAGTACCTGTCGCATTTTCAGATGGACATCATCTAACACCCTGCAGCTCAAACCGCCACCTCAGACAATACATTGGTGTGCGGCCCGGAAGATGGATCCTACACAGACGTCAACAATCTCATTTCCTGCTTCAATTATCTTCGCATCCTCGGCAAAACTCTCTGTGAGTTCGACAGTAGAGAACCGAGAACGGTGTGTTGGCACGGGTTCAACGGCGTTGTCGTTGGTATAAGTACAACGGGTCAGCGTGAGAGTAGTTACTGGTATGCTTATCTTCGCTCCTTACCCCGCACAATCGACTATGAAACAGAACAAATCTGACCTGTATGGCATAGCATTGATCTTGCATGGAGTGTCTTGGCTGTCATTGACTGCTGCACGAGACTTGATCACAGTTGCGCTGGTTTTGCGGTTGCCAATGGCAATGGGAACATCATGGTTGGAGGTACTAATGCCGATTACGAAAACCGTGCCTGGATTTGAAGATTGAGGATGCCTCAATCGTTGCAGTCGTGTTCAGTCCTGGTGCCGGGGTCGATGTCGCGATGTTAACTCACACCAAAATCAGAATATGACCGTGCGCATCATCCACAAGCATGTTCTTTCAAAATCAACAGTATCAACGCGTTGTATTCCCCGCAACATTCCTTAAGCTAACGATATTCCCCAGACTTGGCATTGTGATGCTAGATAGATGCAAATCTGGGGTGACCGGATTGAGCTAACTTCCTCCAACCAGGGGTTTCTCCGGACCGATATGTTTCGCATGCATCAGCCAACGCTCGGCCACAGCCGTGATGCACGTTCAAACTACCCAATCGAGCTACACATTGGTCACGCGGAATGATTCATGTTACTCCAAGTATTCAGGCGTTTCCGCGGCGACATTCGCCATCGAATTCCACCTAAGAGGGTTCATTGTTTATATGAAGTCGGTGGAGATCAAGCCACTCCTTGAGCTTCACGGAGATGATCAGCGAAAATTATTGCGGTCCAAACGCCGACGCCTTGTACATAATGGAGCTTCGACATATATATGGGTTTTGCCAGAACGACCAAGCACTATCATCTCACATCGCAGCAAGTACCAGACATGAAGCTTTCTACCTCCTTTCTATTCGTTGCGGTGGCTGCAGTCACAGCATCGCCTACCCCAACTTATCAGGACACACCAGCAAGAGCATTGGAGAAGAGAGCTAGCATTACAGATGCTGCTAATGTTGGTTTCGCGATGGCAAATGGCGGGACCAAGGGGGGAGCCGGTGGTCCTACTACCACCGTGAGCACTTTACCCCAGCTCTCGGCCGCGGCCAACTCTTCCGGTCCTTTGAACATCGTAGTTCAGGGTGCCATCAGTGGTGCTGCAAAAGTACAGGTCGGCTCTGATAAGACCATCATCGGGAAGACTGGAAGTTGTATGTGATCAGCCCTTCTAAGCTGCATGAGCCCTGACTTACACTTTACAGCCTTGACTGGAATTGGTCTCACGATTCTGGGCCAGAAGAATGTCATCGTACGCAACATGAAGATCGGCAAGGTACTCGCTGAGTACGGCGATGCCACTACCATTCAACTCTCCACCAATGTATGGGTCGATCATTGCGACTACTATGGTGACGAGACTGTTGGCAAAGATACCTACGATGGGCTGGTCGATCTTTCGCACGCTGCTGACTTCGTAACCATCTCCAACACCTACTTTCACAACCATGTACGTCCTCATGTTCATCTTCACGAGAATACACACTGGCTAATGCAGCGCAGTCCAAAGGCACCTTGGTAGGCCATTCCGACAAGAACGCCGCCGAAGACACTGGCCACCTCCGCGTAACATACGCAAACAACCACTTCTACCGCGTCAACAGTCGCGGACCATTGCTCCGATTCGGCACAGCGCACATCTTCAACAATTACTACAACGAGCAGTCTACAGGTGTGAACACCCGCATGGGTGCGCAAGCCCTGGTTCAAAGCTCGGTCTTTGAGAACAGTGGCAAGAAGATGGTGTACACGGAGAGTAGCGCAGAAGATGGGTATGCAGTCGTGGAGGACGTGTTGTTTGGTGGGCAGAGCGCCAATACAGCTCCCAAGGGTACGCTAAATGCGCAAAGCTTGCCCTACAAGTACGAACTATTGGGCAGCGCGAACGTTAAAGCGACTGTCACTAAAGAGGCGGGACAAACCCTAGCTTTCTGAACAGATTGTATTTGGCCAAGCCAGATATGAGTAATGGCACGCATGTACTCTATGACCTCAGCCATTACTTTTTCGATTCAAAAGTTCTCCCGGTATAGGTCCTGCAGATCCTCACCCAAGTAACCTTCCCGAGCATCAACCTTGCTTATCATATTGAATACGCTCCGTTGGTCACTCCTCTCTATCAAAATGTCCTTCACATCAACGTAGGCGAGTAGCGGACTAGATCCCAAGTGATCATAGATCGTGGTCCATGCACTTCCGTGGAGGTCCACGTCTGAAAGCTCCACCGAAACAATTCTGGAGGTCGACGACGACTCGGAGATACCGGTGGACGGGGACAGGAGAGCAAGTAGGACTAAAGAAGGTGTTCTCACACGATCAATGTACAAGTTCCTGAGCCCATCCTTGGTCGGCCGCCAGACGAGCGATTCTAGGTTGCAGTACTGAGTCCCTTTCAAGCCAAGAGATTCGAGATTGCGGCAACGTGACACTAAAGTGCATATGCCGTCCATGTAATTCGTATTTGGAAAACGAGTCTGCAGGTTGGAGTAGAGCGGACTTCCGTGTTCGTCGTTAATGGATCTCTCGTCAAAATCGTATGCGCGATCACCGCCAGGCCCTGTACCATCGATATATTCCAGAAACAGATGTCGCAGTTGCATGGCCATGTCGTCCCGAATACAAGCGCCAATAGTCGCAATGTCGTATGCTGAGGGCAGCGTAAGTCGAAGATAAGTCAGCAAAGGAAGATGTACGCGTGGCGAGGAGAATATGCTCGCGATGTTGCTACGAATGAGCTGCAGGAAGTCAAGATCAAGCTTGAGGCCATAGTCTTCATCGTCTCGCTGATCAACTTCCAACGGTGCGCTACGCCAATTTTCTTCGAGCGTAATAACAAGGCGTTTTAGCGTTGGTAATTCAGAGACAGCCTCTTCGATCCGAGGGACAAAGGCTGACGTGTTCGCGACCAAAAGGGCCAACTTTCCAGCCAGCCCAGGATTATTTTCGACGTCTCTCTTTTCGAACAATCCATCGGGGCTCAGTCTTGATTCAGACAACATGATTCGTAAGCGCTTTATGCAAGGCGCAAACTTAGCGCCTTCTTCTATGATGTATTCTTGAAGTCTCGAGGTAGCTGTGTTCTCCCAGGTGTGGAATGTCGCATATTTATGTTGGAAGTAGAGACGGGTCATGGCGTGGTCGAAAGCTTTACAGACTAGCCGAATCTCCAGCTCCCGGTGAAGTACATGTGGGTAGTCATAGCCGCCGAGGCCACATATGTAATCAAAATCGTGGATAGGCCTGCTCTCATCCCATGAATACCGGGGTTCAGTCACGGGCCTTGCAAGGTAGGAGAAAATCTGGACTTTTCGTTAGCCTACAGTATCGAATCGGAAGACGAAGAACGCTACCTCATCAACGAGCTCAACAGAGAGTCGATCCCATACCGACATCTTCACATTGATGTCGTGCGGAAAATGCGGCAGAGGCAATCGATGGGGAGCGGCAGGCTGCATGGCCCGTGCACGCGGTCACCCCTTCCTCAAGTCTCCGTGGACCTTATCAGCCTATCATCTCGGACTTGCAATCAGGTGGCTGCAGCTCCGTCTTACCACCTACACATACTGTGGCAGGCCTGAGAAGCAGAAAGATCCTATGGATCCAACCGCGTACTGTACCGCGGCTTTTGTTTAGCGATAAAATGAGGGGTTCGCCCCAGCTCAGGCGGCCGTCCGC